AAAAAAAAAAAAAAAAAAAAAATTGGCAGCACAACTGTTGCCAACATTGATAATTCTAATAATAAATCAGCATATTAGAATGATTTCTGAAGGATCATGTGACACTTTATACTGGAGTAATGGCTGATGGAAATTCAGCTTTGCATCACAGAAATAAATTATATTTTAAAGGATATTAAAATAAAAAACATTATTTTATATTGTAATTACATTTTGCAAGATTACCATTTTTTTCTGTATATTTGTTTAAATAAATGCAGCCTTGATGAGCATAAGAGACTTCTTTAAAAAACATTACAAGTCTTACTGATCCCAAACTTTTGACCGGTTGTGTGTGTGTGTGTATATATATATATATATATATATATATATATATATATATATATATATATATATATATATATATATATATATATATATATATATATATATATATATATATATATATATATATATATATATATACATACACGATTGGTCACTTGATATTTTGGTTAGGTGGTCTCTTCCTAAGTGGGCAGTTCTTAGCCAGAATAAGCTGCATTGAGCACCAGGCTCTTTCAGGGGAAATAACTTTTTTTTTTTCCTCTTCGTCAAAGCTAGTAATGCTAACAGCAAAATTACCCAAGAGTGCCCTGGTCCCCTAGCTTTATGTCCAGATGTTTATAGATTTTCATGTACTCTCACTCTTCAGGGAAAGCTGTGATCATTCCAGCCAGATCTGTTGGCCAGTAGTAGCTTAATTGAGTTCTGTTTCAGGGCACACTTTTCACCAGCAGCCCCTGCAATCTGCTGCTTCCGGTCATGTTCTCCCTTCTCTTCACATTATAAAATACACCATTTAAAGCTGGAGCAATATTGCAATCAAAAAGAGAACATCATATCCAGCAGTTACAATCAAAATGCCACTCAACTCGAGCTTGTTTAATATATGTAAACGTTATGTCTTATAATGTCCTGTATGTATGTCCTCTGTATTTATGTCAGATGTTTTGTTGTAAATACATTTGTCTTGCATGCTCCGTGTAAAATCAATGTAAACGGATCATGTTCATCATGTTCCAAAAATATCCCTAAGTGTCTCTCTCTTTTTAAGAAGTGACAGACCTAGTTTTAGAGAGACTCTTAAGACAGCTTGATTTCAAGCACTCTCTAGCGTATCAACAAATACATCTGAATGTGGAAAAGGAGCTGCTCGCTGATTACCTCTTGGTGAGAGGCTTGTGGAGATATTCACCGTCTCTTTTGATTTGGTTCTCCCTGCTTGTTACCACCTGCTCGATGGAAGTGCTTTCCATGCAAATACAGATGCATGCAGATATCTGGCTTTCTCCCAGTCGGTGGGGTGTTGGTGGTCAATGGTGAAAAAGAGGAAGTTGAATGCACATTTGATTGGACTGTGAAATGATCCCAGTGGGAGACAGCGGGGTCTTTCAATCCCAGTATATAGAATCCGAAAAGGAAGTTCAGACATGCCTAGCACAGAGCCAGACATGAAGGCACTTCACACTTTCAATTTTACCTTAGGGATTTGTGTCTTTGGATTTATTTAAATACTACTTGTTTTGAAATTTGCCCAACCCCCATACTATATAAAATGGCTTTTAATTTTACTTTTTATTTATTTAATGTTTTCATCTGCCATTAATGTAATTTATGTAATTTACATGTAATATATTTTAGGTATATTTTGGGGGCTTTTCTATGCTATTAATTGCAATTAATTCTGTTAATTAATTGGCATATTGTGTTTTTATTCAGATTAAAAACACAATATGCCAATTAATTAACAGAATTATATGAAACGCTTGGTTCAGTAAGGTTAAATTGGTATCAGTTAGGTATCATGAACTTCCATTTATCAATACTTTTACAGCATTTTTTAAAATTACAAGTTTTGTGAATTAACATTAGTCACTGTATTATGAACAACCACGAATTAACGTGCATTAATATATTATATAAAATAATTGTATTGCTAGTTCATGATACCTAAATGATATCTAATGTATGAACTAATAAATGCAACTTTCTTATAAAGTATTAAAAATAATAATATAAATATAAATAAAAATGTCAATTATATTTATATAATATACTGTATAATAGTGTATATAATTTATACAGTTTTATTTATAAATATAATTAACGTTTTGATATTTTTTCCATGACCTAACAATCCATCTTCATTGACAAGCAATCACTTACCATTTTGTAGTTCCTTTGCTTGTCTGTCTAAGTGGCCATGGCACTTTTAAACCCTGAAACAGGAGAAATCAATGGCATTAGACAGAGCCCAAGGCCCTCGGCTCAACACAGGGAAGGAACGGGAGCTCAGTCTAAACGGCACATCAGACAGGGAGATAAGGCAGATCAATTCAGGCTAATCTTAGGAGTGAATCCAATCCGTCCTAGCGTTAGCAAGAACCACAGATTCTGCCTCACTCTTCACTTTTAGTTGAACGGCTGCCACTTGCTTCCGATTCTGTTTCAGTAATGAAGTACCTTTGCTAAGCCAAAGACCTGCTCGCTGTGTGCACTCATGAGACGTATTCTTGGATTCCCTCCTTCCTCGTTCTGGGGCCCATAGGACTGTCCAGAGGCAGGTAGAGCAGCTGGGCGACTCCGGGCTGAGCCAAATGGGAATGGGCTGGTGGCAGTAGGGTGGGTGAGGGAGGAGGCAATCGCCTGTGGGATCTTATTTTTTTGGCAGTGCTAGGAAAACAAACAGGGTGGCAGCAGATGTTTGAGTAATTGCTCATTCATCATTAACCTCCCTCCTGCCTGATACTCACGGAGAATTAAAGTCAGCCTTAGCAACCTCTGCATGTCATCTGAACCACTTCTATACCTTTTCAGGTAGATTCTCAGAAGTAGATCAATTGCGATGTAATCCTGAACTTCTGCGTATTTGCGTTTTGTATTTTGGGGCCTCATTTGTATGCCCTGTGATGGTTAGAACTTTGTGATGAATGGTGTAGCGTCTGCGTAGAATCATGCATGATCTTTGGGGTTTTTAATCGTTCCTTGAATTGATAAATGATTATATTGTCTGCTCGGTGGACGGACAGATCAAATAATTGTAATATTGATTCTGCTACAGTTAATTCGAAGATATAATCTAAATATTTATTAATCATAACCAGTTATAATTAGTCATAAATATTTCCCTTTTTGAGTTGAAAAACCCTACAATGGGTAAGTCCTCAGCTCAGCCTGTAATTGGCTGATTGGTCGGTTGCTATGGGGATGAAGGGGCGACTGAGACTGTCTCTGGCTCTGGTTAGAAACTAGTGATGGAGCACCACTGAGCTTCACCATGAGGGCTTCACAAAGCAGACAACATTGTACAACACAGTTCATCTTCTGGTTTGTAAAATAACAAGATCACCTGAGCAGCGGACTCATTTATTTTATTCACAGTCTAAGCCCTACTTTATTTTGTAGTACTGCTGGGGTCAGATGATGCAGAGATTGCATGTGATCATGCTACATTTTTCGCCAACTCAACAAGCAACTACTGTTGTGCACAGCTGAACTAGTAATTCGGTCACACTTTAGTTTGGGGACCAATTCTCAGTATAAACAAACTATTAAGTGTGATTTTTGCCTCAATAAACTCTTAATATCTTGGCAAGGTAGTTGTTAAGCTTAGGTATGACTAGGATTAAGGGATCTAAAATATGGTCATGCAGAATAAAGAATTAATATGTGCTTTACAAGTGCTAGTCCAATATGCTAGTAATATGCATGCAAATAAGCAACTAGTTAATAGTGAGAATAGGTGGGTCCCCAAACTAAAGTGTTACCAGTAATTCTTACTATTTAGTTTAATCAGAGTCCATTTATGTTAGTTTATCTTGATTAATGACAGGTCAGGATACTCTGCTACTAGTCTTCCATCTAAATGAATAGTTGTTTAGTGAGGTCAAATAGTTTAATTTTTGTATTGTTCATGTCATTATGTATAGCGTGAGTGTTCCATGTTCCGTTGTGTCAATTAAACCCAGTTGGATTGATGTACTCCTCGTCTCTCTCCGTTCCTTTCTCCTCAGTCCGCTCAGCAGTGCACCCGTGACAGGTATATTCAGTTACCTCACATTATTGGCAGGCTATATTTTTGACTCTTGACATCTTTACACATACTGTAAGTGTGACCTGAGCAGCTCTATAGGGAAGAACCTAAATAGACAAATGAACTATAACAGTTTGATTGCATATTGTATATTTTGTTCATTTGTTTGGCTTTTTGATAATACGAGGGATATATGAGTGTGATTAGTTAAAGACTCTCTGATGATTTTAATGCAGTTCTTTTTACTTGACACCACTGAGAAGTAAGAATTGCTAGACATCGCTAAGAACTGTAAGTAACTGCTCTGGTGTAAAGATCAATCTAAGATAGCCAAAATGATTAGATCACTAGTAACTAGTTATTTTGTAAAAACCGTAATATTATTCCATTTCACACTGCAACACTTTGATAGCCTGAGTCAATATAATATAATATAATATAATATGATATATGATATGATATGATATGATATGATTATGATATATGATATGATATGATATGATTTAATTAATATAAGTTTGGTAGTTCTACTACCTTTGATAGCCTGAGTCAATATAATATAATATAATATAATATGATATATGATATGATATATGATATGATTATGATTATGATATATGATATGATATGATATGATTTAATTAATATAAGTTTGGTAGTTCTACTAATGTAAAATTCCACACTTCAGCTAGGATTATTATTATTATTTTCCCCTTAATTCTATTCTCCTCTTAGGACCTATTATCAGTGTTGGGAAGGTTTTACTTGGGAAATGTAATAGGTTACAGATTACAAGTTACCCTATTTAAAATTTACCCCAAGCAACACATAGCTGTTTTACAGAAAATATTCAGATGTAACCCCTTTTGTAATTGTTAACATTTCCAGAAGTAACTGTAATGTAATTACACATTTTTTCTCAGTAAATGTAACAGATTGCAGTTACAGTTTGTAATTAAATTATGTACTGTAACACCGTTACATGTTACTAGTTACTCCCCAAGACTACCAATTATGTAGTGTTTAATTTAAACACAGTACTGAAATGGTACTTTTGATGAAAGGAAAACTGAGCACCAGTAATGCGAGTATTTTATATAAAATATTTGCATCTGAATGTGTGTGTGTGGTTTACATTAAGGTACGTATAAATATAGATGTATGCATTTGCATACAAATGCATCAGCATTTTCATTAATGCTGAATTAATTAAACTAAGTGTATTGCAAAACACTTCCAGCAAAGAATCCATGAATATTATCAACATGCTTCAGGGCAGATAAACAGTCGATGTAACTAAAAATTCAAAAGGCCTCATTCTGTTGTTTCTAATAGACAAAGCCCTGCTTTCCTCTTCTGCGGATCTCCCACGTCATGTGATGTAATTAGCATTCCCATTTACAGCTGTATCTCGATACCCCTGTAGCACAGACAATACCAAACCTGTGCTTGGAGACTGCAGATGTGTAATCTGCATTTGGCACTAAATCAATTACTTACCCTGTATGGTAAATCAAGAACAATGAGTCACATTCTGCATAGACCACCACAGACATCCTCTTCTCAAGATGTAATAGCTGTACACAACTGAACACCTAAGGAGAAAATAATAGAGCAGATCACTTTCACTGCCTCAGTCAGCCACCTTCTGGCTTTAAAACAATATTGAGTGTATTTTACAACAATACAACAGTTTATTTCATTGTTGTATAGCTTGTTATGTAAGGACAACTTTCCAGCTCTATTATTGGTGATTGGTGCTATTTATAGCTGCTGCTGTAGCATCACATTGGGAGCGTGATTGATGCTGTCAGGCTTCTGTAATTAAGGGAGGGAGTTTAAGTGGCACAGGT